GGAAGGGGTTCAGGGCGGCTCTCTGACCTCCGTAGGTCTCTGCCTGCCTGCAAACTGCTGCAGCCGTGCAAATACTGTTGAAACGCCTCACGTTGCTGCACGTATCGAACAGCGAACAGCTGAGGCAGCACCGGCCAACAGGCTTAACTGTTTACGTTTGCTGTCGTTTACTCCTACTCAGAACAATGTGGAAGCACAGAAAGGCGGCAGCCAGCAGTCTTCAGCATTGACTCCGTAAGATCAACTGAACCCACTCTTAGTCTGCACAGCCGCAAGATAAAACAAACTCCAAACTCCCCCTGAAACCCTATCCCACACAACAAGCTCATTTACCCTCCCCTTTATTTTTAAAACTGTTGCTTAACTTAGCTTGCGCCTTCCTGTAGCAACCCAAAGCGAAAATGCTGCTTGTTGTTTATATTGAGGGTGGCTCTTGCACAGCATGATTAGCCTGAAATATCTGTCCAAATAGGCTTTATTATATTTTATTAGTTGCAATGTTTCTTGCTTCAGGGAGCCTTCGTCTCCTGCAGAAGAATATACAGAAGGAAGCCTTGGAATATCCGCCAAGGGGTCTGCGGGCGGAGCTGCAGGCAGGCGAAACACAGCACAGTGCAACTCAGTTTATAAGGCAGCACTGTCTTGTATATATTGCATTGCATATACTCTATTATGTATATGCATATATATATATATATGCATATACATATGCATATATATATATGCATATGCTGTGCTGTACAGTACATAGCGTATTATATTGCATTGGCTGTGTCGTACGCTCATCACCTCCGTCGCAGCTTCCGCCTATATCCGCGTAATATCCTATGGGCGTTGGTCTTCATCTAGGGTTTAGGGTTTAGGGTTTAGCGATTAGGGTTTGTGCACATATAACTCTGCATGCGCACAGAGCCGTCTAAGAACGCAGACGACGCCCATTCGTCTGTAGCTGCTGAAGGCAGCACCACTGCAGCGGCTGCACTGGCCACCGGCACTCTGATGAATCCACAGCAACAACAACAGCAGCAGCAGCAGCAACAACAACAACAGCAACAACAGCAACAGACGGAGAAACACCAGGGAACGCCTCCTCTTCCGCAGCAGCAGCAGGAACAGCAGCAACAGCAGCAGGGACAGCATCAGCAGCTGCATCAGCAACAGCAACAGCAGCCGCATCCGCAACAGCAACAGCAGCAGCAGCAGGAACAGCAACAGCAGCTGCAGCCGCAACAGCAGCTGCAGCAGCAGCAGCAGGAACAGCAACAGCAGCTGAAGCAGGAACAGCAACAGCAGCTGCAACAGGAACAGCAACAGCAACTGCAGCCGCAACAGCAACAGCAGCTGCATCAGCAACAGCAGCAACAGCAGGAACAGCAACATCAGCTGCAGCAGGAACAGCAACAGCAGCTAAAGCAGGAACAGCAACAGCAGCTGCATCCGCAACAGCAGCAGCAGCAGCAGCAGCTGCATCCGCAACAGCAACAGCAGCTGCATCCGCAACAGCAACAGCAGCTGCATCAGCAACAGCAGCTGCATCCGCAACAGCAACAGCAGCAGCAGCAGGAACAACAACAGCAGCTGAAGCAGGAACAGCAACAGCAGCTGCAACAGGAACAGCGACAGCAGCTGCATCAGCAGCAGCGACAGCAGCTGCATCAGCAACAGCAACAGCAGCTGCATCAGCAACAGCAACAGCAGCTGCATCAGCAACAGCAGCTGCAGCAGGAACAGCAGCAGCAGCAGCAGCTGCTGCTGCTGCAGCAGCAGGAACAGCAACAGCAGCAGCAGCAGCAGCAGCATCAGCAGCTGCACCAGCAACAGCAACAGCAGCAGCAGCAGGAACAGCAGCAGCTGCTGCAGCAGCAGCAGGAACAGCAGCAGCAGCTGCAGCAGGAACAGCAGCAACAGCAGGTAAGGGAGAAAGCAGAGAAGACGAGCAAACCTAAGCGGCGCCCACCTCAGGAGTCGAGACACCACGACGAAAGCAACGAAGAAGAAGAAGCAGAAGAAGAAGAAGAAGCAGAAGAAGAAGCAGAAGAAGAAGCAGAAGAAGAAGAAGAAGATACGGAAGAAGAAGAAGAAATAGAAGAAGACGAAGTGCATGCAGGTCGCAGCTCCCAGGTTGCTGCAGAGCAGTTGGGGTGTCGCCGTCCACCGGCAGCAGCAGCAAAACCTATAAAAAGGAACAGCAGAATCAGCAGCAACAACAACAACAACTACAGAAGATACTCTCAAAGAAGACAAGCTTTGCAGAAAGGAAGAGCAGCAGCACGGAGGCCTGAGCCGCTCCGAAGGAACATGAGATTGAAGTCGAAGAAGGGAAGCATTAGCAGCAGCAGCAACAACCGCAGCAGCAGCAGCAGAGCTATACCTGCTGCTTATGAGGAAGACAGCAGCGATGACGAAGGAAGTTATTATGACAACAGAGAAGCTAAATATACAGCAGCAGCAAAAATTAAAAACCGCAGCAGCAAAAAGCCAAAGTCTCCCAACCCAACACGCCGAGAACAGCAGCAAATCATTCGAACAGTGCAGCTGCTGAATGCTCTTTTAAAGCAGCAAAAGGAGCAAGCAGTAAAGTTTTCTTCTTCTAGTAATGCGCATGTAGATCCTACAGGAATGGCGATATCTTATGAAAGCCTTTTGACTCAAGTTCGCAAGCGACGGCCTTCTTTAGTATGCCCCCACTGTATACAACAATACAAACAACAACAAGCCCTTTTCTCCGTCTTCTTTACACTGCAGAAGATATATCTATAATGCACTTAAAGTGTCTTGTCTGTACACTTCCTTTGCTGACTTTCTTTTGCTTCCCGTTGTCGAACTAATCTGCATGCAAATGCATGCATGCATTTGCATGGGTATTATTTCTCTTTGCTTTTGGTATTTGTTCGCCCTGCCCGTCAGGATGACGACAACGATGAAGAAAAGAAAGGAGAAGATGCTTTGTCCTGGGCTGCTGCTCTGGTGCTTACGATCCCCCCTTCAATACTTGCAATTCTGCTGGCCCACCATATTGCGAAGAGACAAATGCAGCCGTTGATAGGGGGAGTGTCGGGAAGTTTAGGCTCTTCTCGAGCCTTTTCAGGGAGAAGTAGCGAGCTGGACGTACACTCCGATTCGGTGTCTTCAATAGAAGAGGAGATATTAAGAGCAGAGGGAGAGGGAGTTTCTTATTCAGACTATGATTCATCTCTCCCAAAGATCGTTCGTAGACCCGGAAGACTCTTAACAGGCCTTCCTTCTACTCATATTCCTTCTCACATGTGGCTGCGTAGTGGCAGCCCCAGACGAACACCGTACACCTACGGGCGCATAAGCAAGCAACATATGTCCTACGGATACTCTGATATATTAGACGATCCATACGTCTACGATCCCCTTTATAGAAGACGTATAGCAGCAGCACGCAGCTATGAAAGAGCGAGGCCTCTATTTCATGAACTCTCTGAAGTAGAAGAACTCGCAGATGCCCAGTGGACGGCAGCGGCAGCGGCTGGTGCTGCAGTTGAGCCGCATGCAGAGGAGATGCAGATGCATGGAGGTCTTTGATCTTTCTTTCTTCTTCCCCTCATTGCATTCTCTTGTTCCTACTTCAAGAGAAGAGAAGTAAATATATGCGTTGTTTCCGGTGTGCATACACCCCAAACGACACAACTAAGAGATCTGCATACTTCTTCCCCAAACAGTTGTTCAGTCAATGTCTGGCACCCTCAGAACAAAGCACAAAATATGGCGTTAAATAAAATAAACTAACGGGGGTGCGACTTCTTCAGGTTAGTCTCATGGGACCCATTCAGCTGTACGTACACCTGCTGAACGGAATACAGCTACAATATCCCGTGCAAAACAAACAAAAACAATTAATTTCCGCTACAGGCAAAGGCAACGAAGCCGCTACCACAAATGTTGCATGTGGCTCGCCCTTGCAGCCCGAATGGTTTTTTTTGCTCTCTCTTTCCTTCTTCCTTCCTTTCCTTTGTCTGTACTCCCTTAATAATAAGGGGTAGACAACTGGGCTTTTAATTGCTTTTTATGGAGATGTCTGCGGCTTCGCAGCTACGCAACAGAAACGTAATTCTCAACATCAATGAGGATTCTCTACTGCGTATTCATAACTTTGTATCTATATCGTTTATAAAGCATTATCTATACTATATAATATATATATATATATATATATAAAGCGTTATGCATATTGTGTATATATATATATATGCATATATAATAGATAATGCAGGTTTGCATTATATATGTTATCATATTATTTTATTGTATATATGTATGACTGCTCGTCGAACCAAACCCTCCTCATCAGATACAGGCCAAACTAATGCACCATTAACAGCAGCAGCAGGAGCAGCAGCAACGGCGACGAAGGAGCAGCAGGAGGAGCAGCAGCAACTGCCCGGTGTTCTTACTTACAGCCAGCAGACCGCCAGTCATTCAAGACCCCGCTTCTTGCAGCAGGTAATTAGGAAGGCATTAAGAAGGCGAAGGGCCCTGCTGCATAACAAGCTCAGTATTTGCAGTACTTACTTGTAAGATCTATTTTTCATTTCTTCTAGAGTATTTACAGCAGCCGGGATGCCCTCAGGTGTATAGACAGATCTCGCCCTGAGTGTAGGCGGCTGAATGAGTCGAAACATTTAATAAATTGTTTTCTTATGAGCAACTGAATTCCTCTTCTGTCTCTATTACATTAATTATAAACTCAGCCGATTAATAATGTGGAAGTTTGAGTCGCAGCACTGTTCACTGTTATTGCTGCAGCAAGAAAAAAGCCTATACAAGTCTAACAGCCCCAACCATCGTTTTCTATGCATGCGCGAAGTTGTAATTAACTATTAATCTGCGCTTCTTTATGCTCAAAAAATAACAAAATCAACTCATTCACCTACTCTCGACAGACCTTTCCCTCTGTAGCCACACCAACACAGAGCAGTGTACAAACAACGGCGTTCAGCAGCTAAACAAAATTAGGCAGAGCCGCATTGTTTGATGTTTTAACAGGTCTATTTTGAATACACTTCTAACTCCTGCTGTTGAATACTCGTGCCGCTGTGGCATCCATATCCTTTAAGAGGAGGCTGGGGTCTGCTCCCTCTGGAGTTGTTGTATTACATCATTTTTAATGATATCTGGAGTCTTCCACTGCTGTTTTAGAATAACTGTTTTAATCTGACTCCGTAGAATCCACTGCAGCTGCTTTACTGCATTCTCCCTAGGCCCCTTAGAGCTGTCTATTACTATAGGACTATGGGGCGTCCATTCAAAGGCTTCTGGAGGCTATTGCCGACTCTTTAGAAGAATATAATTATTCGCTGAGAACTCCTGCAGTTGCTTTAATGTATTATTTTGAAGGCGCGAGGGCCCCCCATACACTGTAACCTTCGTGGCGGCCGTTGATGAAGCGAAGGCTGTGGGTTGGGTAGCGAAGTGCTGCAAAGATGTTTGTTGGATTTGAGAAGAGATTTGCCGCATTTTAAATAACAACCTGAAGCACAACTTTGCTAGGAGTTTGCACTCTGCTTTAGAAGATTCATTCTTCGTGAAAGCGGTATTGCATCGACAGAGTCAGAGCCTCCCGCGTGTGCTCGTTTGAAGGCAGTAAATAGACAGACGGTTCCTTCACAGTTTTATTGAATTTAATTTACCACAAGTAATTGAATTAAATGTATAAAATGCGGTTTAAAACATAGATGCCGCCGTTTTTACCTGTAGACATTGTTGAACGGAGCTGCCGGCAGCCCTCCTTTCTCACCGAAACCCCAGAGCCCTGTTGTTGTTGCGCATGAAGGCGCACGCATTCTGCTGTGAATGTTTCTTGTTCTTGTTCTCTTTAGAAGCAGAATATCATATTTATCTTCTTTCTTCTCCTATTCACGAAGTTAAATCTGCTAGACAAAGAAGGAAAGGGATTTGGGGTGTTGTTGCGCCGCGGGCGAAGCTTGCGAGTTCTCCCGGCACTCGTTGTGGGTGTAGTTTCAGAAAAAGACAACAATTGGTGCTTTTAATTCTTTATTTTTGTATCAGCGCATGCTATTTTCCTTTCTATTTGTGCGGTGTTTATGAATTCGAGAGGCAGTACAGTGGAAGCTCCTCTCCCATCTGCCGTCGTCGCGTGGAGTGTTAGAGTAGTGGGAGTTAGCGTTTAAAACTTTGCATGCGTGTTTTGTTTTTGCGTATATTTTCTGAATTTGTGTATTTCTGTTGATTTCTTTAGTTATCATCGTCGACCCTGAAGATGTGCGGTGTTACGGCGATTCTGCTTTCCCCTCTCAATCCTAGTGCTTTACGCCAACTTTGTTTAGCTCGTTCAAAGCTGATCAGACACCGCGGCCCGGATTGGAACGGCATTGATGTGATTAGCTACGGAGGTGACAGAATCCATGCTTTGGCTCATGAGAGATTATCAATTGTGGATCCAACTTCTGGAAAGCAGCCTCTAAATGATCCAGAAGGCCGCGTTGTGTGCGTAGCGAACGGCGAAATATACAATCATTTGCAGCTTCGGGCGCGTCTACCAGAAGATGAAGCCATAAAACTACAGACGCAGTCGGACTGCCAAGTAATTCCTTCTCTTTTTAAATACTTTGGAAGGGATTTCGTATCCATGTTGGATGGAGATTTTGCTACTATTGTCGTTGACCGACATACCGGCGACTTTCTTGTAGCTCGCGATCCTATTGGTATTTCTCCTCTTTATGTGGGTCATTCAGCAAATGGATCAATATGGTTTTCTTCTGAAGTGAAGGCCTTGCAGGAAGACTGCGTCCGCGTGCGGGAGTTTCCTCCTGGGCATTCTTTTTATTTTAAGTCTTCAAAGGCATCTGGTATAATGGAGCGTTTCTACAAGCCTCAGTGGATGCAGCCGGAAGCCCCTATTCCCTCAGCAGCTTGTGATCTCTCTCGTTTGCGAGAAGAGCTAGAGAAAGCTGTAAGCAAGCGAATGATGTGCGATGTTCCATTTGGGGTTTTGTTGTATGGAGGCATTGACTCGGCGATTATTGCATCTATAGTTTGCAGGCTTTATAATGAAAGATTTAATAAAGAACAGAACGAACACTTCTGGACGCCTAAGATCCATTCTTTTGCAATAGGCCTTAAAGGGTCTAGAGATCTTGAATGTTCACGAATGGTGGCGAAACACGTGGGGTGTACGCATCATGAGTTTACCTTTGAGGCTCAGGAAGCTATTGATGCATTATCAGATTTAATATATATGATTGAGTCTTATGACGTACTAACGGTGCGTGCAGCTTTATTGAATTACTTCCTTTACCGCTTAATTAAAAGTATTGGAGTTAAGATGGTAATCACAGGAGAAGGAGCAGCAGATCTCTTTGGCTGTGCTGGAGACATGCAAGAAGAGCAGGATCCTGAGGCTCTTCATAAGGCAATTGTAAAGAGAATGTCGGATATGCATTTTACAGATTCTTTAAGGGCTAATAAAGCTTCAATGTGCTGGGGGGTAGAGGCACGTGTTCCTTATCTAGACGTAAGCTTTGTTGATTATGCTATGTCTATAGACCCTAAAGAAAAGAGATGCAGTGGAGGGAGACTGCCGAAGCAATTGCTGCGCAATGCTTACAAAGAAGAGCTGCCGCAGTTTATAATAGATAGAATTTGTGTAGATAATCAGTTTGGTGTATCATGTGAATGGATAGAGGCTTTACAGCGGCATGCAGAGGAGAAGGTAACGGACTTAATGTTGAATAATGCAGATATTCTCTTTCCTTACAACCCCCCCAACTCTAAAGAAGCTTATCTCTATAGAAGCATATTTAGCAAACATTTTCCAGATCAAAGCGTTGCTAAGATTGTCCCGGGCAGCCATGCAGATGTTGCAGATCCTCGGGGTTGCAGCCCTGCAACGAAAGTTTTGAATACAATGATGAGCCCTCTTGACCTTTGTGGGGAAGATGATTAAATAGAGTATATAATATATAATATATATATATATATATGTACATGTTATATTTTTCCTTTAAAATTATATATATAGATATATAATATGCATATATATATTATTGTATTGTATTGTTATCCTTCCTCGTAAACCCACACAAGTCGATGCTGTTTCACACTCAGTAGGGTGTATGGATGCATCTTTATATTGCCTTGCTTGTGCATAATATAATATATATATATATATATTTGTTGTATATTTGTTATTTATAATATATGTGTTGTTTAGTAGATATATTTGTTATTGAATGTTATACAACGCAAACTGTGTATTTATTTATATATATATAGACTGCAACGAAAGCGAGAAGGGCAAATCTTCATTAAGTTCTTAGCTATGAACTTGTTGTCGTTGTATTGCGTTGGATATTTATTTATATTTATTTATTTCTATATATATAATCCAATATATATATAAGTAAATGAATGTGTATAGGAAGCATCTACTCACTCATCCGGCAGGTTAAGCCACTGCATGCAGCACGCACATGTTTTTCTTTACGTTGTCTTCGTCTCTGTTCAATATTTGAAAGCGCAAATAAATAATAATTACTACTATATATATATATTTATTTATTTATATATGAGGAAGGGCAGTAGAGCCCTGCAACCAGCCAACCCTGTGCGGTGCGGTGTGGTGTCTGTACACCCCAACCAATGGAGAACTTTTCGTCTTCCTCTTCGACGTCCCCAACACCACTTTGACGTTTTTTCAACAAATGGATTATTACTGGCGGCTGCCAGCTGCTGCAGCGGGGGGCAAAGACGGTGCTGCATCGTCTAACTGTTAGCTCTTCATTGAGCCTCCTTGTACTGCAGTCTTTGTTTATGTTTTATGAATACAACATCTATTTAAACCCTTCAAACTATTTGTTTGTCGAAACCTATATTATATCATAAATGTATATAATATATATATATATATATATATATATAATTGTATGATTGCAACGACAGCAACAGTGCCTCACCTCTGTTCTCTAATGCAGCTAGCTAGCTAGCCGTCTTTTATTATTATTTATTATTAGTGTTTATCGAGCGAATGCAAGGCGTAGAGGTGCACCAGAGTGACTGTAGTAGGGGTTAGTTGATGTGTACAGACAGCGCGATAAGGAGACTCAATCAAACGACAGCAGTAGCAGTACACAACATTAATTTAAATTCGAATGTTAATACGGAAACAGCAGTAAACAGTGAAGCACGAATATATATAGTTTTTATATGCTGGATATGGGTTATATGTTTGCATATATATAAACATATATATATATATATGTATGTATATATAAATGAATTGCTCTCTATATATAAAAGAGCAGCACAAAATAATACAACACATGAATAAATAAGGCGTTGAATAGAACGAGGGCAGTTAACAGTACAGCACGAAAAAAAAGATAAACAAACAAACGAATAGGCAAATGAATTGATAAATAAACATATTAATAGGTTGACAGTGCAGCAAATTAAAAGAGATATAAGGGAGGCCAGCAGCTCCAAACCCTGACAGTCGCGAGATCTTGTTGTACGTTCAGAGAGTATATTTTTCTTTGCTCTTTTCGGATTTGCTGCATTGCCTTTGCTGCTTGCATTGGTGAAGACAGCTCTACCCAGCCGTATCCAAGTGCAGCTGGGCTGTCTTCGCTGCGAGGTAGGAGTGCGCGTTCTATAGTGGCGTCAACAGCAGCAAACATTTTGTATACTGTTGCTTCGGTAGCTGTTGCTCCCAAACCATCAATAAATAATGTCGAGCTACACTCCACGTGGTGCTCCTTTGCTGCAGCAGCAACAGCAGCAGCAACAGCAGCAGCAGCAGCAGCAGCAACAGCAGCAGAAGCAGCGCATTGAATGCATTCATGAACATTATAAACAAATATGCATGCATACGAAACTCAGAAACAAACCACGAAAATATGCCATACATACATACTGCATGCATACTTCATGCATGCAGCGATAGCAATGCCCCTATTAATGATACATCACATCAGCAGCACCACCAACAGAAGCCACAGCAGCAGCAGCAGCAGCAACGGCAACAGAAGCAACAGCACCAGCACCAGCAGCAACAGCAGCGACAGCAGCAGCAAGAGCAGCAAGAGCAGCAGTGAAGACTGACGGCATTGAGGGCTGTTATATATCCACATAATGATGCGTCTCCCCCCAATAATAATTTTATGTTTTTGAGCGATTGCTTTTGCTGCTGCTCTCCCTGAAGGCAGCAGCACGAGCGCATATCCAGCAGCAAAAGAAGAAAACTGCTGCTTCGGTATATTAATTGCTAGCAGAGATCCTAAAACTTTCAAAGACTTCGCTACTTCAGCTGTCGATACACCCCGAGATAAATTTCCCACGTATATCCATGCGTTTAAATCCTCTGCATTCACACGCAAATAAGAACATTAACCTTATAAATATAAATATAAATGTAAATATAAGTATAAATATAAATATAAATAATAAAAAAGAAAGAGACAGGCAATAGACAGAAAAACATCGAGCAGTCAGCACTCAAACAATACTTTAAACACCAGCAGCAACAGCAGCAGCACTCGAACAGCAGCAGCAGCAGCGCCAGCAGCGCCAGCAGCACTAGCAGCAGCACAAATAACAGGGCGGCGGTGGGACTGTCGTGGAGAGAACAAACCCTAAACCCTAAACCGTTTAGAGCAGTCAAAGCCTGTGCTTTCCGTTTTATCCCTAAACCCTAAGCAACAACCTGTTATTTGAAAATAAAATTTATTTGTTTTTATTTGTTTTGAAAGCTGATGCAAGAATAAAGAAGTAAAAATAAAAAGAAATGAAAATAAATTAAAAATAAATAAAGAAGAAGACACACCGTCTATCTGCACACAAAAACTAAAAGGAGTTGGCAGTGGAGGTTCAGCGTCTTCTGTCTCTGTTTGTTTTATTCTGAAAAGAGAAAAAGAAATGACAATAAATAAATAAGTAAATAAATAAATAAATAAATAAATAAACAGATAAAGCAAAAGGATAATTTAATTGGGGTTGTTTAATGTACATCATTATATATGATATTATACACCATACACAGCTTTTAGTATTATTCGTAGAATATTTCTGTTTATTTATATTCATAGAGATGCAAATGTTGATTATTATTTAACGAGAAAGAAAGTTTTTATTTAATTAAAAATATTTAAAGAGAGACAATTTATTTATAATTATTTATACAAAATGCATCCGTTTATAATACCATACGAGAAAACATTTATTAATAACTGTATAAAGAGAAAACATTTATTAATAATTATGTAAAGAGAATTCAATTATTTATCATTATATAAAGAAAGAGCATTTATTAATAATTGTATAAAGAGCATGCACTTACTTATAACACGATAAAGACAAAGCATTTATTAATAAATATATAAAAAGAATTAATTATTAATAATTATATAAAGAATGTCGTGAATAAGGGGGCGTTAACTGCATACTTGTACAGCTGGAGCTGCTGTTTTGTGTTATTAAAGAGCAGCATATTTCTTTGTAATGAACTAAAGAGAGAAGGAAAAGAAGAAAATAATAATTGATTGCCCATTGCATTGCTTGCGAATAGTAGAAATTTTGAGAGTATGTACACACCAATAAATAATAAAATTCTAAACGCAGCAATAAACAGAATAATAAACACAAATACAAATATTAAAAACAATAGCAAAAATAATTATTAATGCAGCAATACACACGAGAGGAAAACAAAAAATACTAGTCTATCCACAAGAACACAGACAGCAGCATTAATTAAAACATTATATAAAGCAATTCAAATAACAATAAATGCAAGACTTAATAAGAGAGATAACAACCCCACACTAACAGCAATAAATAGACAGTAAGTAGAGCGCAATGCTACAGTCTATGCTGCAATATGGACTACAATACGGACAGAAACAATCATAAAAATATATAAATTGTGATAGGAAGCACTTTATACAACAATATACAAAACACTGCATGTATATATACACCGCAGAATAATAGCGGCTCTCCCTCGCTCCACACAACACAAATCTTTTTGAATTTCCCTGTGCGTAATATGAGAATAAACAAAAAAACAAATAAAATAACTCAAAAATATAAAAATACATTAATTTAATTGCAACAATTCGCGAAGATTTCCACGAAGTCCGCTGGCTGCCTCAGTTGAAGCCGAGACGACGGCGGTGTGTAGACCGGTGAGTGAAAAGCGGAATGATATTGCTTTTTAAAGAGGTAAAAAAAATATAAAACGATATTAAAACAGATAAAAAGAATTAATATTTGTTTTCTTTTGTGTTTTTATATTTAAATAGAAAGGTTTCAACAGTCAAGACGCTCAATGGGAGGCGGCGGTCATGCGATCGATCGGGGTGAATTGCGGTGCAGGTATTTGAATTTTTTCTGGTTTATTTCCCTTTCCAAACAAATTTGTAAATTTGAATAATTAAATATTCAATTTAGAGATTTTAATTTCAATTAAATTTCTCGAAAAAAGAATTATTTCGCGCATTATATCGGTCTCAGCTCGATAGCGTTTCGACGCCCACCGCAGCCGTGGGCGATATTGAAATGCTGTTTTGTTTGGGTGATTATTTTGTTTTTGCGTTTAAATAATATAACTAAATAAATACATAAAACAAACAAATTCATTCTTCTACTTTTATACGCCCTCTGATTTCTTTTTTCCGCAGCTCCATCCACTTGGGTTGTGTGCACTTGTATTTTATTGGCTGCCTGTACACCCGAAAGAGGCTGAGAAACTCCGTTGATTTTCTTTTTAACTTCACTTCTATTATTTTTTATTTCTTCGTATTTGTAGCCGCCTGTGGCTGCGGCACATGCGTGGCAATCCCGCAAGTTGAAACATTTTGCTGCTGGAGAAATATTTAGTTTAAATTTACAGTTTATCTTTCTCTCTTTTCTGCAGATAAAGATAAAAAATATATTTAATGCGAGCTT